AGTTGTGGGCTATATGTGGTTGTGGTATTGGAATTGTTGTTATGAAAATGTTGTGACATATGGGCAAATGTGGTGCCAGTTGTTATATTATTTTGTGATATTTTTGGCATATGTGGGATTGCTGAGAGGATTGTCGAGGTGTTTACACGTGAGTTATCTATGCTTTTGTTATTATTGATATTTGCACATGCGGCAAGACAAGACATGCTATATATATGTTAGGTTTGCGCATGTGGCGAGACAAGGTGGGATAATTATTGATGTGCGTGTGGCGAGATAAGGCAAGCATTTACTTTATTATTGCGCACGTGGCAAGATAAGGTGGGCTATGTCAGGGATGATTTGTGATGGACTAGGGGCATTGTTATTGATGATACTTGTGTGTGGTGTGACTTTCTTGTATGTGTCATGCATATTACTGGTTTTTGTTGTGTTGTTTCCAATGTGCTACTCGATGTCTCTGATTCTTACCTGTTGACTTGGGCTACGTTTGTACACTTTCACAAGCATACACCATAACATGTCACCTATATCAGTCTAGGAGTATGAATCTCGATATTTATTTATCATGTACATGTATTATTGTACACCCGCCTTCTGTGCGTGGATTGGACTGGTGGCACGTGAGTTGTCCATACGAATATGAGATATTGTTATTGTTGGCACGCGAGTTGTTCGTGCGGGTATGAGGTTATAGTTAATGGTATTGGTATGTGAGTTATCCGTGCAACACGTAAATTGTCCGTACAGTTATGATTGATAAAGTGGGCATGAGATGCCATGTGATTATGATTCGTGATTTGAGAATATAAGGTGGTACCTCAGAGTGATTCTGATATAAACTTTGTGAAAGAATGGTCGATTAACTAGTTGTCATTGTTTTTGCTTAATTGATTTCACTGGTACTTAAAATTGTGTTCCGATTACTTGTTGCATTATCACATGTTTGCTCCTTGTTGTTATTTGTTGTTTCTCCCATCCTTTGCTAGAGTATATTGTTATTCTTTTTATGTTTATCTTTGTACTGATATTTGCTCTTCTGTCAGCATTATATTAATATTTTGCACAGGTTATTATGTCTAGTAGGTGTCTTGACTCTACCTCGTCACTACTCCACCTAGGTTAGTCTTGATACTTAATAGGTACCGTTGTGGTGTACTCATGCTACGTTTGCTGCACATTTTGTGCAGATCCAGGTACCTCGGAGAGTTCCGGTCGTTAGTTAGTTGATTCTGAGTTACTACGAAGACTTCAAAGTATACATGCTCGACGCTTTCAGGCCTCGAAGTCACCTCCTTCTGTTGCTTTACTATTGGTTATATTTATCTCAACATAGTTGTATTTGGAGACTACTAGTGCACTTTTTGGTAGAGCTTATGACTCATTTTCACCGATGTTTGGGAATATTGTAATTGTTATTCAGTATTGAAGTAGTATGAGACTTATCAGCTTTATATAATGTTCATGGTTGCTATTTATGGCAGATTCTCTTGTTTGTTAGTCTTACCACGACTACCTCCGGTGAAATTTTGGGGTCGTGACAAGTTGGTATCAGAGCTCTAGGTTCATAGGTACTACGAGTCATAAGAAAGTTTAGTAGAGTCTTGCGGATCAGTACAGAGATATTTGTACTTATCTTTGAGAGACTACGGAACTACTAGAAAACTTCACTTCTTTCATTCATATCATGCAGATTTATAGATTTTGGAGTTTGAGCCTTGTCATTCTATTCTCTCACAGATGGTGATGACACGAGTTGCAGTTACCGATGATGCTACCCCTAGAGCCGTTGTTGTTAGGGGCCGAGGCATAGGCAAAGGCAAGGGCCAATGAGGAACACGTTCTATAGCTAGAGCACTTGTTAGAGTAGCAGTTGAGGAGGCACCGGTAGATTCGGTTGGGGGACAGTCACCGGAGGCGCCTGTTGCTACCCCCGAACTTCATGAGACTTTAGTGCAGTTCCTGAACATATTTGGTACATTGGATCAGAACAGATTAATTTCGGTTGCACCAGCTGCTTCACAGACTGGTGGTAGAGCAGCGGGCTCACATTGGTCAGGCTGCGGGTGTTATGCCGATACAACCTGTTATTCCGGTTCAGCCTGAGGTCAGGCTAGAAGCCATCAGAGGAGGAGCAGAAGAGGTTAGAGAGGTTCAAGAGGTATGATCCTCCTACTTTCAGTGGCACAACTACCAAGAATGCACAAGGTTTTTTTAGAGAAGTGCCACAGTATCCTCCACACCATGGGTATTGTGGAGATGAGCGGAGTTGATTTTACTAAATTTTAAATGTTAGGAGCAGCGTATCAGTGGTGGCAGACTTATAAGGAAGGTAGGCTAGCTGATGCAGCCCCACTCACTTGGACCTAGTTTTTAGAGATATTTTTTAGGGAGTTTGTTCCCCAGACCCTCCGGGATGTGTGGCGTATAGAGTTCGAGCAGTTGTGCCAGGGCACTATGACAGTGTCGGAGTACGACATCAGATTCAACGAGTTATCCCGACATGCACCTACCTTGGTTTCTACAGACAGAGAGTGAGTCCGCAGATTTTTAGAGGGGCTCAATTATGGTATTAGATTCAGCATGGCTCAAGATTGGAGATGTATACTCCATTTAATTAGGTTGTAGAGATCGCTCAGAGGATGGAGGGTATACAGGGCTAGGATAGGGAGGACATGGAGGCTAAGAGGCCTCATAGACCGGGAGGATCTACTGATCCCTATTTTAGAGGCAGGGCACATCATGGTAGAGGTTTTGTGGGTCAGTGAGTTCAGTCCGCACTTCAGTTTTTACTCGATGCTTCATATATCTATGGACCCTAGAGTACCCATTCCGGACAACTTCCACAACCACATCAGTAGAGAGGTTTCTTTGAGTGTAGGGATACCAGCCACATGATGAGGGATTGTCCCAAACTTCGGGTGAGGGTACCAAAGAAGAGTATTCATGCTATGATTTCCGTTTCAGTTGATGCTACACCTGCACCGCCAGCTAGGGGTGGAGGTCAGGCAGGTAGAGGTCGTCCTAGAGGGGGAGGCCAGGCCCGCTGTTATGCTTTTCCTGGTTGGACTGAGTCTTCTACACCAGATGATATCATTACAGGTATGGTTTCGGTTGGTTTGGAGATGCATTAGTATTATTTCGATCTGGTCCCATTTATTGGAAAGATTCATCCTATCTTGCTTCATATATGGTTGTGTTTTGTAATTTTTATACTATGTTTATGTGTTCACGCTAGTTGGGGAATTCTATTGTGATAGCCCGTGGCTATCATTATGACTTAGTCGCTATTGAGGATCATGAGGCTTGGGTGGACTTTCTGTTAGGTAATACAATAGATTTTGATGTGATTTTGGGGTGGTTTGGCCCCGACTTGTGATTTGGATACTCTATAGGTATAAGAAGTCTGTTACATGTTGTGGTTTTGTCTTACGGGATTGAGTTAGTAGAAGGTTTTTAGTTGCCGGGATGGTTATATTGCTTGTGGTTCCAAGTCAAGGATGGAAAACGTGTGTTCTTTGCGGATAGGTGTGTTTGTACCGGGCAATGTGTCGTGGTGGGGTCATGTTCATTATGGTTATTGTGTGTGTTTTACTTCTTCCTTATGGGATAGACTCGTAATATGGTAACGATGGGGAGTTGTACATGTTGGATTTGTTTGATAGATTTCTAATATATTTCTCTTTCCATGTTCAGTTGTATTCGAGTTATGCTTGTTAGGTTTGGATTGCGATGTATGTGCCCATGTGGCATTTGATGTGGTTTGTTGGTCATGTGAGTAGTTATGAGTTTCACATGTTTCTTGCATCATTATCATTGTTGGGAAGGTTTGGAACAAGGTTCTAGTTTATATGATACTATTTATCGGGTTTGATAATAGGCGGCTATTATGGTCAGAGTTGTTGCTATGGGCATATGGCCGATGTGTCAAGTCGTGTGGTTATACCTTGTGTATGTATGCATAAGCTGTTACATCTAGTTTAGGACTTTACAGTGTGTTTGTGTGATGATAGGGTGCTTGGTGGATGTGGAAATTTAGTTCTAATGCTTATAGGCATGAGTGAGAGGAATAATCTTCGGTTGAGATGATGTCTCCGGGCTTATGTGGATTGGGGTGACGTGGGATCACCCGTGTGTATATACAATGATTTGATGATTTTGGAAAGACTCTTGGCACGTTCGAGGACGAACGTTTTTTAAGAGGGAGAGAATGTAATGATCTGACCGGTAGTTTTGATCTTTAGTGTTCCGTTCACTTATTCGAGGTCTGGAATAGTTTCATATTGTGTATTATGACTTGCGTGTATGGTCGGCTTTGATTTTTGGATGTTTCGAAATTTATTTCGATGGGTGTTGACACTCAATTTTAACCCTCCGTATTTAAAAATTAAATTCTGCAGACTTCCTTGTCAAAATGATAAAAATGTAGGTTTTTGCACATTATTTAGCTTTAATGTAACTTATTGATAATTATTTCTATTTTTATAAAATATGAAAATTTTAATTATTTTATTGCAATTAGTTAAATACTACCGTTTTTGTGCATTTTTCTAAATTTTAAGCAATTTATTGATAATTGTCTTATTTCTCCAATATTAGGATACTCTATCAATTTATTATCTTTCCAAAATTAAAATAACAATTATTACAATACAATTGTAGTAGTTACATTTTAAAATAAAATACTACAATATTTTTTAATTAAATAATTATTTTTATTTACAATCAAGTAACTACATGAAAGCCACTAAAATTTATTTTAAAATACGAATCAAGTTCGGTCAAATTTAAAATCCTGTCAACGTCCGATTCCGATGTGACGACACATTTGAATTGACCAGACATGATAATGATGTGACTTGATATCTTTTGTTCTTGACCACATGTTTTCATTAAATTTTTACATTTTTATTTTTGCTTAAATGTAGACCACATCTTTTATTTACACACACTACATAAAATATATACCCACTCTACATAATATACCCAACACCCAACATATCAGATTTTGAGCACACTACAAACTCTATTAAAAAGGTCTTACAAAAGGCTCTCATCTCTCTCAAGTTTGAGAGCCAACAACCGCTAGCTCCCTAAAAGTGTTCTCTCAAAACTCTCTCTTTTGAGAAATGGCTACCGCCAGAGCTGACCACCGGCCGGCAAGGCACCGGCACCCGCTGCCTCTTCGTCCTTCCCCCACTGTTTTTCTTGTGCCTCTCACCCCCTCCCCCGCATCGATCAGATCTGAGAATATTCAAGCCGGCAAAGGATCGTTTCCAGCAGATCCATGTGTTTATCGGCGTTGGCTTTGATTCTGCCATTGTTTCCGGCAAGCGAAGATGAGTTGTTGCCTTTTTCTTTTGCTTGTTTCTTTTTCTACTGATATTACTGGACTTGAACAAATGCTGATCGCTCGTCTCTTTCGCCGTTTTGCCCAGATCTGAAAAGATCTTTGGCCAGAGATGCAAGCTCTGATACCGGAGGTCTTCGCTGCCATGTATCTTTTCGGCATTGTTCCGGTGTTAGCGCCGTTGAAGCAGCGCTAACAGGTTTAGGCCGATGGTTTTGCTTTCTTTGTTTTTCGCGTTTGTGCTCAGATCTGGCCGGAATATTTTTCGGCAGCCTCCATGTTTTCCGGCGACTGAACTTATGATATATTATCACCATATATTGTGTTAGCCATTTGGGATTAAAGTTGTTTTGTTTCTGCTGTTTTGCCCTCCCATTGTTTGAAGCTAATATGGTCTGTTCTGTTGTTGCCTTACCGGAAATCCGGTCCTAGCGTGCCAGTGACCACTCTGTTTCTTCTCGTTTGTCGGAAATCCTTACTTGGTTTTCATGGCCATTATCTTGGTACCATTATATCAATTGTGTGATGTATGATTTATATTGGAATGTTTCTTCAAGTATTGGCATGATTGGATTGCTAACCTTAGGCTTGATTCAGTCCTTGGTCGTTTGGTTAATCTTGATGAATGACTTTTATCATAGTGAAATACAATATTGATTAAGGGCATCGATTGGTACTGTTTTATTGTGTACTCGAAGTTGTGATAGGCTGCTGGGATCTCGGTTACATTCGTGTGGGTTTGAAGTTAACTTTACACTGCTTTGATGACCTCCTTCTCGTGTTAGTATAAACTGATAATGAACAAGATAGGTACATTGTTCAAGGCCGATGAGTAAAAAAGTTTTGAGGCCTTATGATGAAATTTTGACTGATAAAGAACAAGATACTACACCGTACTTCGGACCCGAAACAAATACATTTTATGAGGCGATGACCAATGCCAAAGAAAAATAAAAGACGAGAATGTGAATATATGTGCTTCAGGAGGCAACACGGTTGGCCGCCGGAGTTGCAACCAAGTCAATGTTCGCATACTAATGTCTTATTGCTATACGACATACTACACAATCCGAGCCTCCTATAATATTTTAAAACTATTTTCCAAAAATAATTTCCAAAAACTATTTTTTAAACAATCTTTCGGAAGCGAAAATATTTTCAAATCATTTTCGAGAGCAACTTTTCAAAGACATTTTAAAACAAAACTATTTCAAAAATATGTCACTTTATTAGTTTGTTTTTTACGTTACATTATTTTGCTAACTATTTGATTTCTCTTATCTTGCGAGGTACTTTATTCGAAACGCTTTGGAAAGATGACGCTCGGAGACGAAATGAACCCCGTCAAATTCCCCGCTTCGCACTTTCTATTCTAGGATGTATCCTAAATCGCAAGTATAGCAAAAACGTAGATATGTGATGTTGCTTGCTTGCTTTGATATCACCTATTTGCTAAACACTTAGGATGAATTGCATCTAGTTAATAATCAGATTAACTTGTAATGTTATGCATTAGGTCATTCTTGAAGTTTGTATATGATGTTGAATGTATCTTATGATATGATTAATTAATTTAGGAACGGTATATACCTAATTAGCTAAATTAGTCATATACATAAAAATGAAAGCATGTCATCTTCTTTCAAAAAATAACCAAATAAATGAATAATTTTGTGGCTCTTTTATAATTATACTAGCACGCTTTTTCGAACCACTTCATATGTAAATTGTTTTTAACTTGACTCATCTTAAGTAGAAAATTGTGATAGGACTTCTTTGAAAAATTTAGGCGTTGTAGTCCTTCGGGTTTGATTCACATAATTGTATTCCTAAGACCATGACTCTAAAAATGGTCTTTAGTTAGTTATTGAATGATGACTCACTTTTCTAATGCAAATATTCTTCATATTGATGCAATAGTTTTCTATGTCATAAATCCTTTGACACATTTTTCAAATGTCTCATTCATTATTTAATCATCAAGATTAGTTCTTTCATTTTAATTGTCTTATACTAATCGCTCAAAATTATTCTTTTCCATCTTTTGTTAATCATGTGGAGTAATTTCTATTTTTTTTACCTTTAGCTTTTTCCTTAATTGGTAATCTTTGCACATAAATTAAATTGTTTTCAAAGTGTATTCTTCATTTAATGTTCAGTTAGTCAATTTGTAAATATTTCACTTATCACTGCATATTGTCTTTTACTCTCATTCCTTTAACAACTTCTTATACTTGTTCATTCATATTAAACAAAATTTTTTTTATACTCTACTCATTAAATTAAAATTGCAAGATATAATGTTCGTGCACCCTTTAACTTTGTCTTAAATTGTTAATCATCTTTTATTGAATTTGATACTTTAGTCAAATGCATACATTATCTATTTTTATATACTTAACCTGTTCTTCAAAATGTCAAATTCTATTCTTTATCTTGTACCCCAATTTTTAAATATAAATTATTCCATACACTTTATTCATTTAGCTTTTACTACATGTGCATATATAATATTTTATTTGCTTGCCAAAATTAATTGTCCTTTATTTAATTTACTTTCTTAATTTTCTTATAAATGCTAAATCAAATGCTTCTTATCCTATTCATTACACAAAACTACTCAAAGGTGATTCTTTCCAATTTAAGGCTCGTCACTTTAAAGTAAGTTTTCCTTTCTTTTAGCCCTGTCAGTCAAAATAGTTTATCACTGGACATAATTCAAATTCTTTTAAATGTATTCTTTAATTGCAATTCATCTAGTTAATTTACAAAATACTTTACTTGTTACTACATATTTGCTTTGCATTTTGTTAATTTATAAAAATATAATTCTCGCATACTTCATCCCCCTTTTGCATACATACACATTTATCTTTCACTATGTGACATTCTTGTTCAATCATTCATTCAAGCTACTTTACTGTTCTTTGTATATATCAAATTAATTATTTTTTGAACCTTCCCTCATCTATTTGATTGAGTCCACATGAACCACATTTTGTGGATCTTGAGGGATGCTTAACACTTTTCCCTCGAGATAACTTGAATCCTTACCTAGAATCTCAATGGTTTCGTAGACTATAATCAAATGTACATTACATGGTGTGGTATAGGTGTCCTAGTATACCTTAAATACTTGGTGGCGACTATAAATATCAATTAAACTTGTAGAGTAGTATGAGTTGTACATTATTTTGACTTGTGAAAAATAGGGTGCAACAACATGGTGACTCTGCTGGGGATACTTCAAGTTCTAACCACAACAGATTTGATCAACTACTTGAGGGATTACAGGTTCTCAAATATTCCAATTTCTATTCTTTATGTCACATGATACAAGTCGTATATTCTTCAAGTTGTATATTCTTTGTTTCAAGTTGTACTCTTTATTGAAGTTATATATTCAGTGCTTTAAGCGGTATATTCTCTGCTCCAAGCAGTATATTCTATGTCATGCGTTTGCTCCAAGTCATATATTCCATGTGATGCACTTCTAGCAGTATATTCTTTGTTATGCGCTTCAAGCAGTGTATTCTTTGTCATATACTTTAAGTGGTATATTCTTTGTCATTCGCTTCAAGCGGTGTATTCTTTGTCATGCTCATATTGCATATGCTTCCCACATGTGTATGTTGTATATTTTGTTTCATATAGTTGTGTTTTATATGCTTTGTCACATGATTTGTGCTGCCTTATTGAATTGCCATCACGTTTTTATCGACTCTTGGTCGTATACACTCACACACAAGTCACACGAGGGTTGTCTTTTTACCCCTCCAAACCTTATATCAAAACTCTCTAGCTTCAGAGATTGGCATAAGAGGTTAACTACGTATGTCACGACTCAAATCTCAACATGTCGTGATGGCACCTATCATGATACTAGGCAAGCAGGCAACTCACATATACCAACACTTTCAAATTCAAAATATACTAAACCAGGTTTAAATAAATGAAAATCTCGTAAAATCTGGATGAATTGTCACAACTCAATACAGAAATTCTCAAAACCTGGGTGTCACTGAGTACACGAGCATTTATACTGTAACACAGTCTAATACACAGTCTAAGAAAGTATAACCGAATAAGCAAAAACTGAGAGATAGGGGAGGAGAGTTAAGGTTTGCGTACGCCAAAACAGCTACCTCGATAATTCTCGAACAGGTAAAAGTCCACGATAAACAACCACCGTGCCCGAAAACGCATAGATTTGCACACGAGGTGCATGGTGCAGTGTAACTACAACCAACTCAATAAGTATTGTAAATAAACAAGACAAGGTAAGAGAAGCTTAAATTATTGAGGATACTAGTTATTCCGGTGTAACTCTGCCTTTTTAAACCAGCACAACACAATATTTAAAAACTAACTCATAAAGCTTCGTGATAAGAATATCCGTGTGTGCATGATGTTTCTCAAATACCTTACTCAAACAGTATTATTGCATGCAGAGGAAGGAGACAAGTAAATTAGATTAATGATCAAGAAAATACAAGTTCCACACACTGCACGGACAACTCACGTGCTAATAACAATAGAATCTGCACGGTCAACTCACGTGCGACACAGACAACTCATGTAGCAATATTATCAATATATAGATCCGCACGAACAACTCACATGATGCACGGACAACTCGCGTGCCAATAATGTCAATACATGGATCCGTACGGATAACTCACGTGCCAATAACATAATTCGCGCGGCATAGCCGCAAGCTCCCAGTCCAAACATATCATACAAAAATAATAAAGCAAGTATACATGTATATGATGCATGAAGTAAGATTCTCATGTCCCTGGCTAAAGTGTAAATGACATGCTAAAGTGCAGGCATATGCAAATTGTGTTATCGTGGCTCAAACCGGTAATTTTATCAATGAAAATCATTTATCAAGTTCGTTCAGGGGTTAAACCGCTATGTAGCCTCATCATGGCTCAAATAGATCACATATATCGTTACAACATGTGCGATATCATAGCTTAAAGCTTAACAGTCAATTTCTAGGCTTATAAGAGCCCGAGCACAACCCAAACATGAATATATAATCCCGGTGCCGCACATGGCTCATCCACACACATGTGCGCACCCAAAAGCACATGGCTATCACAACAATTCAGGCAACTGGTGCCTCAACCAAGTTTAAATACGATACTTACCTCAAGAAAATCGAATCACTCCGCTAGCAAGTCCTTTCCTCGCGAATCGGCCTCCGAATAGCTCAAATCGAGCCAAAATATAAGTCAATATAATCAACACGAGTTACAGGAATCAATTCCATATGAAAATACTAAGCTCTTATTTAAAAGTTAAAAAGTCAACTCAAACGTCAACCCTCGGGCCCATATCTCAGAATCCAATAAAAGTTACGAAATATAGAAGCCCATTCAACCACGAGTCCAACCATATCAAATTTATCAAATTTCGACATTAAATCGTCACTCAAATCCCCAAATTTAACTCTCCAATCCCTAGCGTAGTACTCCCAAAATTTTACCTCAAAAACACACAATCTAGGTGGGAAATTCAATGGGGAAATAATATTATTGAATAAAAATGATCAAGAGTCACTTGTCTCAAGAAACCACTCAAATGTACTCTCAAAATGCGCCTTAGTTCGAGCTTGAAATGTCCAAAATGATTAAAAATCTTGAAACCCTCGAGTTTTAAACACTGCCCCAGCCCTTTTCGCTTCTACAGATCGTTTATCCGCACCTGCGGTTCCGCTTTAGTGGTCAAAGCTACGCATCTGTGGAGTTACACTGGACACCATTCTTGCGCACTTGTAGCCACTAATCCGCACATGCGGCCTCGGTTCTGCGAGAAGACTTCCAATTCTACGGACCTCCCTCACCAGGCTTCCTTTCGCTTATGTGATGATCCTTCTGCATCTGCAAACTCGCAGGTGCGAAAATTCCCTTAGCACCTGTGCAACTCCCTAGCTCATCCAAATCCACTCCTGTGATGACTCCTTCGCTTTTGCGGTCGCGCACCTACGACCAAATTCTTCGCAGGTGCGATCGCACCAGACCTGGTGCACTTCAGCAATCCCTCAATTCCAAACTTCGATCCGTTAACCATCCGAACTCCACCTGAGGTCCCCGTGACCTCAATCAAATATACCAATAAGTCCTAAAACACGATACAAATTTAGTCAAGACCTCAAATCACATCAACCAACATAAAAAATATGAATCGCACCTCAATTCAAGCCTACCGAAAACTAAGAAATTCCAACTTATACAATCGATGCCGAAACTTATCAAATCATCTCCAATTGACCTCAACTTTTGTACACAAGTAATAAATGACACAACGGACATATTCCAACTCCCGTAACCAATATCCAAGCCCGGTAACCACAAAGTCAACTCTCGGTTAAACTTTTCAATTTCCAAAACTTCTAATTTTTTATTTTTCGCCATTTCAAGCCTAAATCAACTACAGACCTCCAAATTGCTATTCGGACACTCTTAAGTCCAAAATCACCTAACAGAGCTATTGGAACCATCAAAACTCCATTCCGGAGCCATTTACACAAAATCAACCTCCGGTCAACCTTTTGAACTTAAACTTTCAACATTGAGACTAAGTGTATCAACTCATTCCGAAATATTTCCGGAACCAAACCAATTACCCTGGCAAGTCACCTAACAATAATTTAGCATAAAATAAGTAGTAAATAGGGGAACAGGGCTATAACACTCAAAACGACCGGCGGGTCATTACATCCTCCCCCTCTTAAACAAACGTTTGTCCTCGAACGGGTCTAGAATCACACATGGAGTCTCAAATAGGTGTGGATATTTGTTCTGCATTTTCGCCCGATCTCCAAAGTAGCCTCCTCAACTGGCTAACCTCTTCGCTGCACCTTCACTGAAGTGTAGTATGAGTACACCACGGTCGCTACCCAGTAACTAGCAAGACTAACCTAGGTGGAGTAGTGACAAGGTACAAGTCAAGACACTCACTAGACAAAATAACCTGTGCAATATAGAAGTATAAAACTAATAACGGAAAGTGGAAATCAGTAAATAACAACAAGAACCAATGAGTGATATAAACAGTAAAGCAATAAGAACATCGGGAAGTATCATTAAAACCAAATAAGGAACACAAAGGACAATCAATTAATCAAGCCGTTTTAACACAAGTTTCACAACGAAATCACTCTGCGGTACTTTATCATAGTCACGGGTCTTAACCCACCATCATATACTCACGGCATCTCATGCCCATATCTTGCATCACAACCGCACGAATAACTCACGTACAAGAATCTCAATCCACCCGACATGATCACAGGCTCACATTCAAAATTCGCCCGCCATGGTCACAGGCTCACAATCACAATCCGCCTGGCATGAGCTCATCGAAACAACAAAGAAAGTCACGCAAGGTGCATGACAAACACAAAGAAAAGCACACCATCACACGAAAATCACCAACATAATGTCTCCAAACCATCACACATGATCCCTGACATTGCCACCCTTATCTTTCCGATAGCCACCCGTATCACTCCGCCCTGACATTGCCACCCGTATCTCTCCGAAAGCCCCACGTATCACTCTGCCCTGACATTATTATTAACCACCCTTATCTCTCATATAGCCACCCATATCACTCCGTATAATAGCTACCCTTATCGCTTCGCCCGGACAATAAAACAATAACCACCCGTATCACTACGTACATTCAACAATAGTGAGATGCCACTCTTATATCCCGCATAACAACCACGGTGAAATGCCACCCTTATACTCCGCATAACAATAACGGTGAAATGCGACCCTTATACTCCGCATAACCACAATCAAATCACACAACAATTCACATATGTTATCATCACAAAAACACAACATATCAACCCACATCACAAGTGCCCGTAGGCTGTGACCTTTCCAAAGATTCAACAATATGAATATTTTCACAACAAATAGCCCATGGCTCAACACAACGTATATTGAATCTCAATAACAACAAAATGAATGGAAAAGTGACTCAACAAAGAATAACACCCCCTTTAAACAGAACTTTAATTAGAATAGATTAATGACTCTCGATAACTTTAATTCCAATTAATTGTTTAAGGATAAACTCAATAGTGAAAGTACTTCATGAAATGACAAACTCTGGGTTCTAGTGTATGAATAAGGCTAACAAAGAAAGGGAGATGACATGAACTAGTACTACGTCTAAATGCATGAGAATAACCCGGCTACAAAAAGGGTATCATGTACAACAAATTCCAACTAAGAGTAACCCAACAATAAAAGAGATCACATAATGATAAAAGTAGTAACAACTTCAAGTAAAGTATATAAGATCTAACTCAACATGTAGAGGATGTCACACGTAACAACTTCAAATAAAGCATGTGATAGTAGACATGGCGATTTAAAGATATAACATGTTCTAACAATTCCAAATAAATACATGAATAGGAGCCTAAGAGTCTAAACCAGTCAATTTCTAGAAATAAGCCCGAGTACGTACTCGTCACCTCGCGTACACGGCTTTCACATAATACAATTAGCACAAACGATTCCAATCCCTAGGGGTAGTTTCCCCCACACA